CCCCAAAACCCCAAAACCCCAAAACCCCAAAACCCCATAGATGGGTATAAAAGTTAGTTTTGTGAATGCGAAGGAATAAATAAAAATAAAAAATAAGATTAAAGTTAACAATTAATTTAATAGGTTTTAACTGTTTAATGAGTGAGCAACTAAACTATCAACAACTATTCTCCTGCAATAGTTCCCAGTTAATGAGCTTGTACACCCAAACCACCGAAAACCAAACGCAGGCAACCTTGCAATCTCAACAATCGATGGTTTAATATGATTTCTAGGTCTAAACCAAGCTTTAAACATTAAAATTCATGCCATCTTTAACAGCTACTTTTTAAAATTTACGCCAAGGAGAGATAAAAGATAAAGAGATTAAGCCTAAGCGAGTTGACTTGAGTATCAACAGGAAGATTTTATCCTTTGGTAAAAATCTTATCACAAATAGCCAAACTTGTCCTAAAAAGTCTTCTCTTGACATTGATCTTAGTCAAGTTCGAAAATACTTCAAAAGAAAGGAAGTAAAAGCCAAAGTTAAACCAAATGGTGAGTTTAAGAGACAAAAGCAAGGATCTTAAAATTTGGCTAAAGACGAACAAAACTCTGCATATAATTCTCATCTAGAAACACCGAATTTATTCATTAAATCTCCAACTAGATTCTATGATGGTTAGAGTAACAATCAAATTCCCCAAAGCAGAGTTCTAGCCTCTATAAAGGATAGACAAACCAACATCACCTAAAACGCACCATCTAAATGTAAAGATCTCTCAGACTTTAAAGATTAAAATATCAACTTAGGATAGTAACCCTCCAACAATTAAGATGTTATGAAGGGTTTTCCTTCGAATAACCAATCCATGCAAAGCTCAAGCAAAGAAAATGCAGATTTAGATGCTCACTCAACAAATTTTCTATTTACACCAGTAAGGACAACTGACAAATCTTTATAAAGCCCCTAATTATAAGCATAACCGATTAAAAAGACCAAAGCTATTGAGAAACATACTGATAAGATACCTAGGTAGGTCTAGCTTAAATTTTTTTGGGCTAAGCGTCAGTACGATAAACTCAAGCAACAAACTGTCAAAGTGTTTGAGGACCGTGCTTAGATGCTTCCTATAAGGAATAAATCTAACTAAACATCTCTTATGAGCACATAGTCAACGTTTTGCTCAACATTTGATCACACAAATAAGGTTAGAACAGAAAAAGATGAAATATAGATGTTTTCCACCGATTTTAGTAATGAGAATTCAGAGTCTCCTCTTTACTGTTCCTAAGTTATTAGTGAGTAGAAGGAGATACTACTCAGAAAGTTTGAGGATTAATCCCTCAAGAATAAAATGACAAAGATTATCGAGTAATAGCAGCTAAGGATGATGCATCATATGCACTTCAACAACCAGTTTGATAACAGTCTGTAGTAGTAAACTATCATGCAAGCCATTAACAGTGGCATTAGTAACAACAATCCCAACTTCATTAACAATCTTACAGCCAATAGTGAAACCTAGATATCAATTCGTAATACCTAAGAGAGTTAGGTAGACTTTACCCAGAGAGTAGTGATTGGCACTCCATCTGAGGAGGGCAGTTAGGATTAACTAAACAGAAGTAACCTCCAATATTCCAATCAAATGAGCAATTCTTTCAGCTGCATTGATGATATCAACTCATAGTCCTACTCTAACAACTCTAGCTAAACTGTTATTAGACCCTTCAACTTGATTAACTCCCCAGACTCAAGTTTTAGTAATGATGATTACTACAGATGATCGCAACCACTGAGTAATTGATAACAGTGGTGCTTAACTTTGTGAATTAATAGTCTTAGCTCAATTTCTACTAAATCTTTGGCATTTAAACTGATTAGTAGCCAAATTTTCTAAGGTATAATGAGAGCGAGGACGTCATTTAACAGTTAGTACTACAAAAACGATAAAAATAATCAACAAATAAATATTTTAATTCATTAATTATATACTTAAAATTACAAACAACTTATAGAGTGTCTTTTTCAATATTTCATCATTTCTATTGTGATTTTCAAGAATTTCCAATTTTGCTCAAAAGTAGACTTGTGTGCATCGCTTCAAGCTCTTCATACGTCTTAGCATAATCTGACTTTATATTCTGAAGCGAGTCAAAGATTCTCTTGGTCTATCGCTCCTTGAAGATTCTAGAATATTGAATACTACTTGAGTCACTTGTTGAAGCAGCTGATCTTTCAAATTGTCTGTTCATAAAAGACTTTAGAGCTAGTTTGTAGTTATCATGATTGTTAAGACCATATTTATTTGTCAGATAGTCATCTTGAGACTTTATTTACGATCCAATATTTTAAGATAGATAGCTTAAGTAGTGAAGCGAAGATGATTATAGAGTAGGATTTGATATTGAATCAGAATTCTGTAATAAACTATTGACCTGAAGAGGATGACTCATTTAACCAGGCTAATTGGATTGTGTTAGATATGAATGCTATAGCTCACTTTAGCCCATCACAGAACTGAATTTCAAATTATTTTATATGTTGTGCTAAGCCATGTTGCTTCCTTAAACATGAATAGAGGAAAGATTGCTATTCAGTTGAAGTTCATCAAACTATTATATTTACGATTTGGTTTATAGAGTGTTGTTAGTATACCCAGATGTTTTAAGATCAGAAGGAATTATCGGGGTAAAGTTTTCTTTGTTTAGAATTTTGCTTTAACAATCATTACACAGCACAGCGTTATAGGATGAAGCTTTTTCCGAGTCTTTATTAGATATAATCTTTGTACTTTGATCTATATCTGAAGCTAGTTGTGGTGTCTGAACTTCATGACCATCTTATTTGTCATAAAAGTTAAGATTTTTTGTATCAATATTGCTCAATCCACTATGTGGTCTATTATGCTACACATTAATGGGAGCTTAGCAACATTGGCATCTGCTACTCAGAATGCTGCTTGAATTATCCTTTCTATTATAAGCAAAAGGACTTACTAATCTTGATTGGTATTAGTTTTAATAAGGAGTGTTTAGATAGGTTGTAGGATTAGAAGAACTTTGACCATCTGAAAACGTTCCACCACCCACCATCATATTCAAGGGCATATTTTAACTAATGTTTGAAGGTCTACCTGAGTAGAATTAGTTTCTAGAGCTATTCGATCCGACTCCATTGTAATACTGATCCTCAGGTATTTAGTTAAGCGTCACGAACTAGTTATCATCTATTCTGATTGGATCATTTCTCTAATAACTACTAGTATTTCCTCCCTTATTTAGATTTTGCATATTAATAGAGCTTTTGAATGTGGAGTACATCAAATTATTGTTAGGATTACTCTATTCATAATTTCTCTGATCAACAATGTTGAATTAATCATCATGATTTTATTAATGCTCATCACTATCTTAAAGAGAAGTTATCTTCTACAATTATGTGTTAGATTTTTGATCAAATCCGTTCGTCTAGCCTAGCTCGTCAAGTAGTTCTTAATCCTACATTTAAGCACTTACTCTAGTGTTAAGGAACTGAGTCTTGCCCTTTTCTGGAGTGATCCCCATAAATTTAAGATGCTAATTGCTAAGCGTGCTAGTTGATATGTTAAAATTTGGCTTTGCATTACCTGCTATACCACCTCCCATAAATTAAGAGCTCTTCAGAGCATTTGAACCTATAGTATTTTCATGAGAATAATTTCCTCTCATTTGATGCAGCAAACTTCTAGTACCATCATCGATACTACTCTTATTGTCATAGAAAATGCCTCCAATTCCGCCATGTCTATTTGGAATAGGGCTTTAATCTGTTAGCGTCTTATTGAATGAAACATCTTCTTCCTTACTATCTTCAAGAATGGTCATAGGATTAATGTAATTCTTGACTTGATATTGTTCCAACCTGATTTAGTCAGCCACATTGAATCCTCTTTGCGACTATTATTCTACAGATGACCTTAGAGAATGTTACCCAAACTACATCATTAATTTAAAATCAATAATAAAGTTAAATAAATAATAAAAAAGTATCTCGTTCTACTAACCTCACTAGAAGCACTCTGTGATAATGATTCAAATTGATTATAAACTCCTCCTCCTCTTAAAGAAGTCAACTTTGGAACATTAATTAGTTAGGTCTGTAGATTTGAATTAATTTCAGATTCCTTAGATCTTGCTAAGAAATTTGGTGAACTAGTATATCGGCTCTCATTTGATGATATAGTTTCAAGGAAAGAATGTCCAAAGTTTTAAGCAACCATCAATTTACTATCAAGTTTGCCTAATAGAAAAATGAATATATTATTATGTAAAAAAATGGAACTTACTAGATCTAAGGTCTATTTTAGATAGCTGTGAAGATGATCGAGATTAAGAAGTTTTCAATGGTGATTAATTGTTTTGATTGTTGGTATTATTGTTTCTACTGTTACTTAGTCCAGATATTGAGCTCATACTACTATTTGTGTTAAGATTATTAGTAAGGTGGAAATTCTCGTTTATTTTCATAATTTAAATATAAGCAGTTGATGATATTTAAGTTATAAATATGTAATATATTGTAATTAACTTCACACCCTTTATTCAATAATTACGATTGATTTGATATTATAAAAATGTAAGAAAATGGACTTTAATAAAATCTAGACTTAGAGTTCTAGTGCTACTTGAATGCAGAGGAGCCTTAAGTGATTCTAAATGATCACATAATGACTCATTTACATCGAAAAGGGGAAATTCAAGATTTTACGCTTTAATGCCTTCAAAGTTCTTGTAGCATAATGAAATAGTATTATGAACTATAAAATATTGACTTTCAAACTTTTTAAGGTGCCTATCTTAGTAACTCAGACCAGTTCAATTTTCTAAATTTAGGATCAGGAGATATTCCCTTTATGAAATTACCTGGAATATGAGAAATTGAATTACTTATAAACCATAATAAGTAGTGCTTAGTCCAGCACATTTTAACAAAGAAAAGAGAAATAAAATTACAAGAAAAAAAACAACTGTATAACTCATGCTTCGATGATAAATATATTGAGCAAAAGAGTATACAACAGCTATTGTAAGTTCTATCAAAATTTCGATCTTAGAACTATATTTATAGATTAAATGAGAACATATTTGAGTCTGGATATGGCTTAAATGCAAATTTCTACACAAATAACTTATTACTGTAACAATATGAGTAATAATAGCAGTCTTTTTTACCTCTAATCAATCAGGATCCTAGCATGGGTTAACTTGCACAAAAGAGATAATTGTAAGTCAATTGAACATTCAATTATTTAGTGTAGAAAGATTAGACGATTTTGATTTGGATATTATAAAGTAGTTTATACTTGGCAACTAAAAGCCAATTAGTAAAAATGGGATAAATAGTTCATAAGAAGAGGATAATAGTAAAATTAAAAAACGATAAATGACATTGAGAGACAGAAATAATGACTAATAAAAGATTGGTGAAGATAAAAACAGGAAAAATTAGATTAAAAAACGGAGTAGTCAAAGACTATCAAATTACTCTCAATCTAGTCAAAACTAAAAATCTTCATAAAGGACATTAATAAGTAAGAGACAGTCGTCAGACACTAACAACTCGAAGCGGTTAGATGATAAAAATTATGATTTATCAAAAACTATCCAAGTCAACAATGGCTACAAGAATAAATTAGAATATTACTCAAGAACAGAAACTGAAACGGAATAAGAAGACGATGAAAATTCTGAGGATGAAAAATTTGAAAAGAAATTGAGTAAATCCCTCAAAAGTGAAACACCTATTACAAAATAAACATAAGCTTTAGCTAGTAGTATTAATACTAATTAAAACGATGATCTATCTTAGTCATCTCTGCATCATAGTAAAAGGCCTAAGAGACAAGGGACTTAAAATGGGAGATACTATGGCTTTGAAACATTCTAGCAACGACATGATCATTCTCATTACTAATTGATTTCTTATCAGAATTACAAATCCTAAAGTGCCCAACCATACATTATATATATATCTTTAGAGTAAGTTAATTGGTTTTTTTACAAAAATTACAGGGCTCTAATTATTTTGAATATCCATTCACATCTTAGTGAATATGAAGTTATTGGATTCTTAGGAGGATATTGCTATGAAAATCAATTTTCACCATAAAAATGTAAGAAATTCTATTCAATAATTATTGCCTTTTAGATTTAATTATAAATACAGTGATACCTTGTGATTCACTAATAGAAAGTCAAGTTGAACGATAAAAAAACGTCGATTTATGTCCTATTTCTGCAAATAATGCAAGATAAATTATTCAAAGTAGAGGCTAGTAAGTTCTTGGATGGTATCATAGTCATCCCTTTTTCCCAGTTGAGCCATCTTTAATAGATATTCGAAATCATGCTGTGTATCAAAAGAACTTTGATCTAGCTAATCTTCCATTTATAGCTCTTATCATTGGTCCCTATAGTACTAAAAATAAAAATGAATCACTATGCAAAGTCTTCCACTTAGTAAAGGAGAAATAGCCGTTTAGCTTGAATTTTAAATAGCTTCCAAACAAAAAAATGCGTAAGGCTCTTATAAATGAGATTAAAGATATACTAATGAAATATAAGGCACATTAAGATAAGATAAATCTTAAGGAAAAATGGTGTGCTGGTTATACTAGAGAAGAAAAACTTGTTGAGGCTATTGAAATTATCCTTGAAAAAAACTTAAAGTAAAAAGATAAAAATGATGTTCAGCATGAACTGAGCACGAATTTAAGTTCAAGTGATTATCAAAGCTACTCTTAAAAAGGACTGTTTACTTTAAGTACAACTCATTCAGAAGGATCTTATTCAAAAAGAAGTGATATTGAATATACAAATCCCAACTCAAACATGTTAGATTGTTCAATAATAAACCAAGAAAGTTTAGAGTAATAGAACTTAAATAACAGCAATAATTCAAATGCTGCTAATATAATAGTTGCAACTGTCAGTAATAATCTAGACTAATATGACAGTAATGGCACTCTTTTGCTTCAAAATTTGAAGAAAGAGAGTTACTTCAGCATTGAAAATGAGGATAGGGTCGAAAAATTCATGAATAAGCTAAAGAGCATGATTGGTAAAATACTATTTTAAGATGATAGTTCTCAAAGCTAAAATAAAGCAGATAATTGCCTGAAATAAGAGAGAAAGCAGTAATTCAAGCCTGAATAAATAACTCTAAGCTCGTGATGACTCTGATAGAAGGCAATCTGACATTAATTTGAAAGGTTCACTAAAAGTCAGGAGATTCATTAATGTGCGAAAATAAAGACGAAATATTCCAATGACATAATAAAAACCTAGCCTAATCAAATTTTATACAAAATAAATCTATTCGTTATAATATAAATTAGATCTCTGAATAATATTTTCAATTCATTAGCAATTTTAAATTGAATTTGCTCTCGGGGTTTTGGGGTTTTGGGGAGATCGGAAGAGCGTCGTGTAGGG